GGCAATTAAAAATTATTTCTTAAATATGACAAGCCTTTAAGTGAGACAGCCCTGCAATAATAAAACCATTAAAAACCCATTAAGTAGGCTGTGGAAACTTCTATCAGATAGATATGAGATTTCATTGACAAAAGAACAAGACCCAACAGATGAATGAGCCTGGGATCTGTAGGATTTGTAAGGGCTTTTAAAGTTTCTTGAACTTTATAAAAAGCTAAATTTTACTGCCAAAGTCTATGGAGACCATTCCCACGTCTATTTCTGTTTAATGGAGTGGTCAGAGAGATAACCAGGAAATTAATTTCTCACCTGCTAGTAATGGAGGAATTGACAATTTTCATTAGAAACAAAATAATGTTTGCAAATGCTGTGATTCAATCTCAGTAGCCGCCAGTGTCTTCTGCATCCCCTCCCATTGCTTTCTGTCCTTTCCTTTTCCAAAGTGGATTACAGGCCTGCCAGTTAAATGACTTGGAGGGATATATGCAGGAAACCATAAGCACAGGCTTCCTGGAAGCACTAACATGAGCTCATTGCTCCAGTTCTTTCTTCTCTAGCCCGCTGCACACAGCTATCCATGATGCCATGTCACCCTCAGATATTCTCTGCATAGTACATTTGACATTAATTGACATTGCAGTCCTATTGGTGAAAATCCTCCCACTTTGTTCAGTTCACATTTCAGATACAGATATGGTTATGACATGGTTCCAGAGTGGACAGTAATTGATTGATCCATGGTTTGATGAGTTTATACACATTGATACATTATTGCAGGAAACATCCAGAAGAAGGCTTTAACATCTAGTTTATACATCTAATCAAACATATATGTGTGTTTGTGTGTGTGTGTGTATATATATATATATATATATATGCAATGTATCTTTGTGATATAGGCTAAGAAATGGCACAAAAATCCCTTCAACAGGAAAGCAAACAGGAAAACAAAAAAGACTCACCCTTGCTTCAGAGAGCTAAAAGGTGCCAATTTACTTATTAACTAGGGAAGCAGCAAAGAAAGCAGTTGTAAGAGGAAGCTGAAGTCAGGAGGACATGCAAAAGTACCTGCTAAAACACGTTTGTTCTATATATAGTTCTATTTGTCACGTCTTTTAATACAAAATGAAGTGTTACATTTGTTCACTTTCACAGAAGTTGCATACTTCTGTGATTTTCAAACATGCCTCACCATGTACCATCACAAAAGGCTATCAATTCATTAGTTGCTTCTTCCTCAAGGCCACCAATCCTCTTCTTCATTACAACAGCTGAAGCCAAAAAGGGAGCTGCCATTCTCTAGAGTCCACCAGGAGAGCATACAGAGAGAGGATACAGAATACCACTGCCTCTCACATGGAATCAGGGCCACAGGCAGAGGAGATGCACACAGGAAACTGAGCAGAGTATGGTTAGGGGATGGGAGAAAAGACTGCAAAGGATGAGGAAGTGGTAAAGGGCAGCAGGCTATGCTGATGAGCCTGGGAGACAGATGAGCTCAGAGGAAAATCATTTAACCCTGGAAGCAGATAAATGGAGTTCCTGCTAGTGGCCATGAGGAAAGAGGAAAGTGGCTGCATCACTTATGGGTCCCTTAAAATTTTACACTCTGTTGGGACAGGCAGATTCTCCTCTAAAGTCTTATAAAACCAGAACTGAAAATAAAACAGTAGACACATTTGTGATATTAGAACATCAAGGAGTGCTGGGGATCTGACTCATATTTTGAACACATAATGATGGCAATATTATGACACTAACAGCTTCAATTTACTATAACAGAATTCTCACAGTATGTGTGATGGGAGAACACAGCTGCAAACACTTTCATGGGGAGTGTTAGATGTTTAGTTATCATTTAGGCTGGGTTTATGAGCTCAGTCTTCCTTCAGATTAAGAAAATGGGAAGAAAATAATCCATTTACTTGATGATTGTGTACCCAGGAATTACTGGAATCCATAATAAAAGATATTATGAATCACTTTTATTACTGACCAACATTTTCAAACCAGAGCCTGAAGCAAGATCCCAATCCATACTAAGGGGGTTTAAGCATATTTGGTCCAATATGATATATTTTCCATTGATTTTTCTAGAAGCAGCCATAAAACATTTAAATTACTTCCCCAAAATTATATCAAAATTAAAAAGAAGATCCAGTGCTGGATGTAGAAATATTTAGTCAGGTATTAGAAGGTAAGCAGAACAATCTTCTACTGAAAGGTTTGGTTTCAACACAGTTCCTAGCTTTTCCAAAAACTATATCATTTAGGATCATTTGGAGGTTCAGGGGAATTACTTTATGGTGTGGAGCTGTGGATGGAATTTAAATTGAAAGTATTTATGTCCTTTTCTATTTTATGCCAATGTTTAGTGTTACTCCATAAAGCAAACCCTAACACAGATATAAATCTGTCAGCATTGCACAAGCAGTATCAATCCATTGATCTTTACCTGGATGCTGTTGCTGAATGATCTCTAGCAATGCCACTCTTCCCATGCTCATTTGTGCACCTTGGACACAACACAATAGGCAATTTTTATCCATAACTTCTCTACCAGCAGCAGACAAAACAAAATATCTCTAAAATAATATGCAGCTCTTGTGGAGCCTGAAGGATGATTGAGAAAAGGAAAGAAAAAGCTGGGAACTAGCAGCCCCTGAATGCAAAGGCTGTGGGAAGCCAAGTCTGTCCTGCCCGTTGCTTTGACAGATGTAATCCTGACTGAACCCTTTTGGCACTTTGGACACAGGGATGCCATCAATAATACCTTTCAAGTCATTCCTTCTGTTACCTCTGCTTCGTAGCTCCTATTTATTAAATTACTGCTTATCTCTTTTTATATCTATTTTCAAAAAAAGGGAACACAGAGATAGGATTTATCAAAGCAAAAAATAGCTCATGGGTCAGCTGCCCCAGGCTATGTTGCAAACCAAACAAAAAGAATGCTAAGCTGCCTGTCACCAAAATAATCAGTTCCTGTGACTAAGAAAATATTTTTTTGCTATTCCAATGCAAAGGCCACTATTGACATAACCAGATTTTATCTTTGGTCATTACAGATCTAAACCTTAAACTTTTTTCTTTAAAATGCTGGACAACATTGTGCTTTTAAAGATCAAGAAGTCTGGTTAGTGTTTTCCAGAAAATATCAAACTCTAGATGCTCTCCCTTACCTTCCTCTTCATTAATCAGATGTTTTATGCTATGCTTACAAGCATGGAGCAGGCTGCCTGCATATTGCCTGGAGCAGGTAGTGAGAACTGGCAGCCTGCACACAGGGAACCCGTATCCACATCCCGTCGACCTTCAGGCTGCTGCAAGCATCTCTGCTCAGAACAGCATTTGGTCTGTAGCAGATCCCCCTTTTCTGCCACTTCCTAAACTCACTGCTCTACAGGGCAGCTTCAATCCGTGGTTTGCCTATTCTGATACCACAGACCTAAGCAACACCTCCTTCAACAATTTAGATGAAAGAGGTTTTCCCATCTGTCTGAAATGTTACACAAGCTGCTATTTAATGACCACCAGCTGAGTTTTGTGCCAAATGATGGCTACAATTGCAAGTATGGGATTTCACTTGTCTAAAAAATTACTTTTTATCTCTAGTTTATGATTTCCATCCTTTGCAGCACACACCTCACATTTCAACAAGTCTCTAATATTTAAAAAAAGAAAAACCAAACATAGCCTAAGCAATTTACAATCCCACAACACTGACTGAAGAAGGTCTATCACATCACCACAAGTTTTAGAATCTGCTCAGCTCCTGTCTTGACATAAACACCTAAAATCATACTTTCCAAAACACATTTGCTTTTCACAGCTGTATTGGGTTTGTGTGCCAAGGCTTTTGACAGCAGGGATGCTTTAAGGTAGCTTCTGTGAGAAACTGCAAGAAGCTTCCCCTGTGCCCAACAGTTAATCCCAGCCAGCTGCAGGATGGACGCAATGCTGGCCAAGACCAAGCCCTTCAGTGATGATGGTAGCACCTCTGAGATATAACTTTTTAGAAGGAGGGGAAGAGGAGAAAGGGAAAGGTGTGGGAGAAACCGCCCTGTAGACCCCAAGGTCAGTGAATATGGAGGAAAAGGAAGTGTTGCAAGTACTGGGACAGTATGTCCCCATGCTCTCTTAAAGGCACCTGTGCTGAAGCAGGTCATGAAGAACTGCAGCCTGTGGGAAGGACCCATACTGAAAAAGTTTGTGAAGGACTGTGTCCCATGGGAGGAATCCCATGCTGGAACAACAAAAGAAAGCAAGGATGAAGGAATGGCAGAGACTACCTGACTACCTACTGCAGCTCCTCTTCCCTCTCCCCTTGCATCACTGGAGGGAAAAGGTAGAGAAAATAGGGAATGAATTGACCCCAGGAAGAAGGAAGGAGTGAGAGCAAAGATGTTTTAAGATGTGGTTTTATTTCTCATTACCCTACTCTGATTTGATTAGCAATAAATTACATTAACTTTCCCCAATCCAAGCCTGTTTTGCCTGTGACAGTAACTGGTGAGTGATCTCTTCTTGTCCATAGGTTGACCATGAGAAGACTTTTATCAGATTTTCTCTGCCCTGCCCAGCTGAGGAGAAGAGGGATAGGGCAGCTTTGGTAGGATACCTGATGTCCAGCCAAGGACAACCCACCACAACAGCTGGTTCTCCATGTGCAGCAGAAAAATGGTGTTTTTCTTGTCAAGCTCTGAACTGCAATTCAAAACAGCAGCAACAACAGGTATGACCTACTCAGGGTTCCACAAATCCAGTGGTACACAGTGCTTCTGGCAGATGAGGGGCTGTTGAAGATGCTGCAGCACAGACCAGGCTGTCCTGTGTGTGCTGCTCATGCTACAGGGAGCAAAGCCAAGCACTGCCTCAGGAGGCTGGAGCAGATCATTGCCAGCAGCAATGCTCTGGCCCCATCCTTGTATTGTGGATACTGTAGACCACCACCAGCAGATGCTATTTGTGTGAGGGAACAAAGTAGATATAACTTTCACCTTCCCCTCTGTGCTTCCTCAAGCTGTGTCAGAGGCTCCTGCTTGGCTGGCTCATGGGGGACATCCTGGTGATGTGTCATGCTCTCATGTTATCTTGTCTTCTCTGTACCACACATCCACAGCAGGCTTTGCACTGATGAAGAATTGGAGTTTAAACATACAGAAATAAAAGAAAAGGAAGATAGCTCTGACTTTTTGATTCACTGGTCTTCAGCATTTAATATGTTGAAATAATTGTGCTGTTCATTTGTGCCTTACAGGATGTGTCACACAGTTAAAATTTAACAGACAAATTTCACTCTGTGGATTTGGGGAGGGCAACAGTCTGTTTGGTAGTAGCCAGGCAACGCTTTCTGGAACAAACACTACATGTACCCTAGAGGTTTTGGGGCTTTTTACTACTGAGAAGTATCTTCTGACCATTTCCTAGCTCATACTTTTCCATAGTCAAGAGTAACACAGGGCTTTGTGGTGCTGAATTCAGGTTTGGGGTGCAGTTCACCTCAAAATGGGGCTCAATCTGTTTGCTGCAGCTAAGCCCTCTACCCAGCTCATGCTTCAAAGAAATTGGACACATCACCATTAACAGCTTCAGCTCAGAAGCCCTCACAAGATTACAGCCAAAGTCATATCTGTTTTTGGATCAGATGTTGAGGGATTTTTTGTTATAAAATAAAACTGAAAGCAGCAAGAGAGCAACAGACCCAAGTAACTGTGTCCTCATAAACACAGGTGAGTTGCCATTCATTGATAAACAGTACACTGAAGTCTGTGCAATGTTAATTTACTCATCTTCAAGTGATGCATTACTGTTCTTTGTGGGTTTGGTATCAGTGAAGAATAATAATTGCTGAATAATACTAAGGTCCCTGCATAGCTATCAGACATTATTGACCTTTGCTTACTAGGCAGCACTGGAGCTCAACCCCTGATCTGCAGTGAAAGGCTACATGGTCTTATTAAACTCACTGTAGAAGTTGCAATCAAAGAAGGCATCATAGTCTCCATAGTAACAACTGAAAAAAATCTCAACAGATATCACAAATAAAATAAAGGGCTCTGGTTGGAAAACTTAAATTGTGGGTGCAACCCAGAGCCTTCTCTCATCCTCCCCATAGCCCAGGACCCACTTTCAGCCCAGCCTGGGTCCACTAGTCCCATCCCAAGTGATGCCATAGGATACTGGACTTCAGTGGCAAAGTCAAGGAGAGGAGAATGTGTGCCATGGTGCTAAACAGACACTGAGTCCTGCAGTGCTTCTGAGGGAAACAGAGATATCACAGATGAAAAGCATCAGTGCAGGGAAAGCAGAGCCCTGAATGGCACGAGCAGGTCTTCACACTCACATGTTTTTGAGGAGGCAGGTGGAGAAGAGGCACAGCTCCCATCATGGGAAAGACAGCAGCAGCAGCAACCAGGTCTGCCGTCCTGCTTGTTTATTCAGGAAGGAGAAGACTGGTCACATCCTAGGAAAACCAGGGGATCTCTGTGGGCTTTAGTATGACTAGGAGTGAGAGCACAAGGGAGAGAAGGAAGGATTGCTCTCTGTAGCAACACAAGAAGAGTCATGTCAGGCACAACTCAGAAGGGGATCTGAATATGACCAGAGAACACAGACAAGAGAAGGCAGGTAGCTTTGCCAGGACACCCTCACCCTCTAGGCCCTCTCTCAAACCAGGTTTCCTCTGGGAAACTGGAGAGAGGTTGATCTGTATTTATGTAACTAATTATGTTGATCTGGTTGATCTGTATTTATGTAAGGAACTGTGAATGAGTCACACCTGGGAGATATTTAGGGGCTAAATAATGCATCTGTTACTCACCAACAGAGATGTCTTGCTTGGAGAGATCTGCTTGAAGCTCTGTGCTGCCAGGACAGACTTGCTCTGTCACCTGAGTTACCCTGGGCATCTCTGCATGTTCCTGATCATGCTGAAGTGTGCCCATGGCAGACACTCACCCTTCCCCCTCAGAGCTATTTCACAATTATATGTATCTGTCTTGTCCCCAGTTTTTCTTGACTGTGTGCTCCTTGATCCTTTTTACCCTGTATTCACACACAGTATATATCACAGTGTATATCTGCCGCCTTAAATGTATTTCTTGCTCTTTGCTTTTTTGCTGCCTTCAGGTTTTGTAGAATGTTATCTGCTCTAAGTCAAACCACTGCCAAGCCATATAAAATACATAATCTTTCCTGCATATATAAAAAATATATTTTCTCCATTCCTTTATTTTCTATTGACACATTTCTCCAATTCATCCACGTCAGTCTGGCATTGATATGCCAGAACCAGCAATACTGTTCCACCTGTGCTATGTACAGCTGGATCATCACCTCCTCAGAAGATAATGGTTTTGCCTCTGTGTGTAGCCCCAAAATCATACTCTTCAATACCAATATAAGCCCACTAAATGGTTTCCCACTGCTTTCTCTAGGGTTTGGGGGTTTTTTTCCATTTCTAGTGCTCTATAAGTATCTCTCTCCTGCAGAACAGCTGAGTCTCTGATTATTTTTCCCAGATGTAAGAAACTGAATTTTTCAAGCTGGAACTTTTCTTTTACTATTATTCTATATTTCTAACATTTAATATCCTTTCTACCACTTCTACCCTTGTTAATCTTCCCAGCTCCTTGCAAGGCAACATCCTCTGCTGGCTTAGGAATACAGTATATTTGAGCAGAAAGCAAGCTCAGGAACACACTGTGACTTCAGCTGACAATTTGTTCCCTCATGAGAGGCATCTGTTAGCATCTACAGATACATGGCACATTATTTTTCCCTCCATGTTTTCTCCTTGCTTCTGCTTGGCATGCTGGAGGGAAACAGTGGGCTAAAGCTGGAGGGTTCCCTCTTCGACCCCTTCTTCCCATGGCTGCTAACCCATCTGTGTGAAGGAAACAGAGCTGACCCAGAGAAGTGAATCACACACAATTGCTGGATGGTTGGGGCTGGAATGGAGCTCTGGAGATCACCTTATCCCCACTATTAAAGCAGGTTCAGCTAGAGCAGGCTGAACAGGATCAGGGAGGATCATGGATGGGCAGGGGGGTGTTTAATATCTCCATGGAAAGAGACTCCACAACCTCTCTGGGCAACCTGTTCCAGTGCTCTGTCACCCTCAAAGTAAAGAAGTTTTTCCCCCTACTCAGATGGATACTCATCAGTTTCAGTTTGTGACTGGTGTCCCTTGTCCTGTCACTCAACATCCCTGACAAGAGTCTGGCCCCATTCTCTTGACAACCACCCCTAAGATATTTACATGCTTTTTCAAGATTCCTTCTTCTCCTCCTCCTAGCTACAGATGCTCACTCACATCATCTTCATGGGAGAAGAGATGATCTTGCCCCTCTCATTCTGCATACAGTTCCTTGTAGCTCAGCAGGGAAGCAACTCCACAGACATGACAGACAGATCCCAGCAGCCTCTCTCTCTCTCTCTGTGACTCCTTCCCATTTATTATTTCTTCCTCTGTTTATCACCTTCCTTGATGGTCTCAGGCAGTGTAAAAGTACTCTCAGACAAAAAAGCACTCCTAAACTTGTTTTTGTAATTCAATGAATCAAAAGCTCTCCTTTGTGAGACAGTTTTTTCCTAGAAATACAATTTCTACACAACCTCCCACTGGAGTTAATGAGGGTTCAGATGTTTTCTAATCTTTCTCTAGCTCTAACTCCCACCAGCACTAATGGTCAGACAGGCTGGATGCACTGTTTTGAAGTGCTATTCTTATGTTTTCATTCTCTTGTTCCATATGTTCCTTAGCAAGAGAACAGGTTTTTCTTACCAGCTGCTCTCAGGATAGATCAGGCAGCAATTGGTAGAGCAATATAAATAAAGATGTGGACAGGAAAAGTTATAGAGTTTAAAATCCTTAAAGTACAACATTGATTTAAAGTAACAGGTACTAAACATTTATCTCTACTTTTTAAATCTCACATCATTCAAGAGTGGAAGCAGATGACCATCCCCACCCTACAGCTGAAAAGAACACACAGAAGCAGAAGAAATTTCAAAGTTCCCATTTGAAATGTTCTCTTTCAGTTGTCCCCAGAAGCTGGGGTATTTTCGAATTTTCCTCAGAGGGATTAGCAATTAACATTTTTCTAGAGACTGTTAATTACTGTTGGTGGCAAATGTAAGAGTCCTTCAAATCTGATGTGAAAGGCTACAGAGGTTTTCTAACCTATGGTTTCTGTAGAAGGAGTGGGAGATCCCAGCTTCTAAAATTAGCCTGAGGCATTTGAGGGGATCTTAAGAGAGGGGATGCCACTAAAAGCAAATGTTTCTCTGCATGTGCCACTGTCCTTAAAATTATATTTACACTCTTTAAGTTTGGAAAATATATTTATGATCATCATATTCAACAGTCAGCTTAGCACCATCACCATGTTCACCATCACACCATGTCTTCAAGTTCCATATCCACACAGGTTTGGGACACTTCCAAGGATGGTGATCCATCACTTCTCTGGACAGTCTGTTCCAATGTTTTATAACCCATGGAAAAAAAAATCATACTGTTAAAATTAAACTTCCCTCAGTGCAACTTGAGGCCATTTCCCTTTGTCTTGTCACTTGCTGCTTGGGAGAAGAGACCAACACCTACCTCACTGCAATCTCCTTTTACATAATTGTGGATGGCAATAAGGTCCCCCTTTTCCCAGACTAAACACCTACAGTTCCTCCAGCTGCTTCTTGTCAGACTTGTGCTCCAGACACTTCCCCAGCTCCACTGCCCTTCTCTGGGGTCATGCTTCCAGGCCAGATCAGTGGGAAGGGGCATGGCCTAGACATTATGTTATTGGATACCACCTTATGTCATTGCCAGAGGAGGGGAAAAGGGTGTCCCTCTCTGGTGGAACAAAGTCTGGCAGGGTGGGGAATCTGTCAGCCATTGTTCACTGTCTCAGGGTCAAGCAGTGTGGAGCTGGGCTTAATCAGCATTTTGCATGGAAATCACCCCCTCTTTATACACTTTTGTTATTCACATTGTTGCTGCTATTGTTTGTTTTCATTTCTCATTGCTGTTTCCAGTAAATTGTTCTTATCTCAACCTGTTATCTCTGCCTTTTTATCTCCCAATGGAGTGGAGAGGAGAGCTACTTCTTTTCTTTTAGTGGGAATACTAAATTGAGAAATACTATTCCTAAACCATGGCATCTGGAAATGTTCCAGCCCCTGAATGTCCTTCTTGCAGTGAGGGGCCCAGAACTGAACACAGGATTTGAGGTGTGGCCTCACCAGTGCCCAGTACAGAGGATAATCACTGCCCTGCTCCTGCTGGCCACACCATTGCTGATTGAGGCCAGGATGCCATTGGCCTTCTTGGCCACCTGGGCACACCTTGGCTCATGTTCAGCTGCTGTCAGTCAGCACTGCCAGGTCCTTTTCTGCTGGACAGCTTTCCACTCAGTCCCCAGCCTCCAGCCCTGCATGGGGTTGTTGTGACACAAGTGCAGGACTCCTGACTGAATTTCATTTCCTGCCCTCCAACAGATCTACATTCCCACCCAGCCTGGTGTCATCTCCAGGCTTCCTGAATGTTCACTCAATGAATGATGAGAAAGAACTCCATTTCTTGATTAGAAAAACAGTACACCTCCACTGCAATGCTGGGAACCACCCTTGCCAATGAAGGGGTGAGGAGGAGCTGGAGCAAAGCTTGAAGAAGTTGAGAGAAGGAGGGAAAAGGATGAAATCAAGAAATGTGCCTGGGAAGCCGAATACCTCACTGAGCAAATATCTCTGAGCACTACAGGCTCAGACCATGTACCCCTACGTGTTTGTTCCTCTGCATTTCAGGTATTTCTGGTTCCTTTTTCCAGACACAAAACTGCTCTGAAATGAGAGCTAACAGCATAAGACTTCTTGAAGGGCCAAAGCTCTAAAGAGAAATGGCAACTACTTCTGCAGACAAATGTGATGGATGAACGTAACTAGCATGAGGTCTTTGGAACAACCTTTCCTACCCCTTGGGAGAAAGAGAATATAAATAGCCAGTGAAACCCTCTGGTGTTAGGCAAATGAGGATAATAAGTATGCTGGTAATGCTGTAAGAAAGCCACATAACATAAAATGTATCTTTTTTATGACAGTAATGCGAAGCAAAATATACATATTTTGTACACATATTTATCTATACAAAATACCAGATGCCACTTTAATTGTTAGCTTTTATAATAAATGTAATTTATTAAAAATATGTTATCTTCAGAAAGGGAAGGTTAATGGAATCTGCCAGCATCAATGGGAAAGTGGATGCATTTATCTCTTTTTCCTGAAGTCATGAAGGAAAAGATTAACAGAAGGTAATAGGAAAACCTACGAGGTCAGGTTTGATTGCTTATTTGGTGCTGCATTAGATCTGATATGCCCAGTGAAAACCAATGAACCTTAACACCAGAGCTGGGCAGGAATAAAAGACCTGTACTCTAAAAGAAGGAGACAGAACAGTAATAATTCAGACGGAGATTGTGAGTCAGGGCAGTGCTTGTTTTAGCAAGTGTAGACACCTACAATGTGGGTGTGTCCTGGAGATGCACTTCAAAGGTACAACTGCTCATATTCTGAACTGAAAGAGAGGATGCCTCTCACCTTGCAAATGCCTCTTTTCCCATTATGTCAATATAAAGGGTTCCTCCTGAATGTGTTGATCTGTACTGCAGAAGTCTAAAGTTGGGCAGAAGTAATATAGATTCCTTATAA